ATCTCCCAATTATATACCCACGATTGAAAAATATCCAATAAAATTTTCTCTTTCCCCAATTTTTTCCGAGAAAATTTATATAAAAATCCAGAATATTCGTAAATTCCCAGTCATTTCTTGAGCGTGGTCATAACATCCTCGAGTTCATCTCAAACTAGTACGAATAATTTCCGCACGTCGTGGATTCATTACTAAAATTCTCCCAATGAAAAAACCCGTACTAAGCACATTTTTCCGCCCCCTCCACATGCCATTTGTCTTCAGCAAATATTAAGCGCATTCCATCACGGAAACTCATTAACCTAAGTAAAAAGCCTCAAGCCTATATTTAACTCTGTTATCATGCTCATTGACAAGGAGGGAACCTTTCGAAGACGGGTTGCGAAAAAAATGGAGCTATTGCGAGAGGAATAAGACGGGAAGACGAGAAGAAGTGAATACCGGCTGGTCTTGGTTCACCAACGAATGACAAGAATCAAGGTAAATGAGCCGAAAATGTAACATCCACTCTTGAGGATATGCTCCCTCTCAGCAGTGTGCATTTAAAGAGGCAGAGGCTCGAGAAGGTAAAAAGATGAACCACAGAAAAAAAGAGGGATTCCATTGCTCTATTTTTCTCGTCCGCTTGGCTCCAGCCCCCCAGACATCTCTCAGCCTGCAACCCCTCATCCTTCCCCCATATCCCACCCTCTTTTCCCTCCCACCCTCATCGCGAGCCTGAGCGTTCAAGCCAGAAAACGAAAACGAAGTTTACAAACGAACGAAAACTCGATTTAGACTGCCATGCATCATGCCAGAGCTGCAGCATTTTCCTGCCCCCTACCCCTTATTTTTCTCCTGATGTACATCCATGCCCCCGCCTATCGAGGTAGGGAGTGTCGTACACCGTTGGAAATTCATGTTGAAGTCGAGGGCTTGCATTTTTCCATTCCGCATAAGTTCGTTCGCACGACGAAGAGTTTTTACCGAGTAAAGAGAAGGATGAGAGAATAGCTGAGGAATGGGAATAGGAAGGTAAGAAGTGAGGAGATTGCAACCCTAGAGCGACACATTCCTGGCGAATCTCTTACCTTGGTTGCTCCTGTTTCTATCGTTCAAACTTTTCACCAACAGAAATAACCAAAAAGCACCCCAGCTGAAGAATCTTTTCACGCTCATGGCTAAAACTCTCAAGTACCGGAGAACACGAACGGTTTTCCTTGATAAATCAAACAACACTAGCGCGGAAAGAGTTTATTATTAGTCTCTCCAGTTGTGAGTATTTGTTTTTTTTTTCTATTACTTTCGTGAGAGAAATCTTATTGACTCCTTCACCGGGAAATGTGCGGATTTAATTTTACCTTACATTTGCGCTTGTTATTCCTCAACCGGTTGGAAAAACAATTTTCGATAGAAATTCAATTTACTTTTCCATTTTTTGAGTTAGTTGACAAGCTGCGAAGACTTGAGAATTTAGTTGAATTGAGCCGCGTGTTTACCGTGGAAAGAAATTCCTTGATGTTAGAAGGAAAGTCTCTAAGTTTAAGAATAACTTTTGTAAAATGTATAAATTCTTTCTTCGATTGCTGGAGAAAGATTGGCAGAAAACTTTAAACTGGCGATATTCATTATTATAAAAATTATAATGTATTTTGGTAAACACCCGTGACAATACAGTAATTATACACTCGGCATATTACTTGACGCTTTAAAACGTAAAATTTCGATAATTTGCCATCTCACAAATCTACGTATATGAAATTAATTCCGTGCTTTTCCTTTCCATATTACTCGAAAGGAATTTGTCATGGGCGATGTAAGTCAGTTGGGATTAGATGTTAAAAAATCGAAAACGATGATGAATAGGGCATTACCAGTGGTTTGGTGTGGGATCGTGTGCGTGGCGGTATGATTTACGATGAAATCAAAGGAGGCCGTACAATTTTTCCCCTTATATCTCTCGTCCTTGGTTTTTTTTTTCTTTATCCTCGATGTTGAAGCAAAGAAGGTAGAGGAGATAACATAATTGCCAGCGCGTGTAGTAGCGTACAAACCGCGAATGCTGGGATGCAAATGGCGGGGACCTCTTCGATCACCAGAAAATGTTCCCCTCGATATGGGCATACGTATAGGTCCCCTCCCTCGTGAAGAGATTTGGTGTATTATAGTCTCTCATCGGGACCATCAAGACCACTGAACTCACCAAGGCCCCAGCAGTCTCACCATAAAATATTCTGAGAAGTGTGTATCCGAAACGAGATATAGTTGACAGTAATGAACGACGACGAATTTTTATTAAGCATTTTTCCTTCTTCTTTAACTCACTTATTTCATTTCTTGATTTTTATGTTGGACATTGGTTGGCAATGCCCACTCTGAGAGGGCCCCTGGCACTGATAATATTTGGCCAAGGAGTGAAGTGTAGAATTGCGCCGTGAAAATTGATAATATATCATGAGCGCACAGTTTACCCCCCCTGAGAGAAAGCCAGGCTGATTGTATATACGAAAGGTGATTCTTTATAATTGGTTAGGTATTTGCATCGAGTCTTTACGCTTATTGAGGTTTAGCCGGCGTCGGCATCTCTCACGACGCGGTTTCGATGCAGACCGGTCTACTCACCTTCTCTCGCGTTCTCTTCGCGGGCCCCGTCGGTTTTTATCATTAATGCCTGCTACGCAACCGGCTTGAAACACGCGATGGCGACACATCTCTTCCTCTCCTTACCTCCACACTCTACATTCGGATCCTGCACTCGATCCTCTCTGCTATTCTTATTACTCCATCCTTCCTATCTCTCTTTCTCTCTCTCTCACTCATGACATCCCGCGAGGCACTTTTGCTTCGTCACGGCCCCCGCTTATGCCTGTCACATCGATACCCACCGGGCCCATTACACGTACACCTGGAAGCCACTGAAAATATAAACTCAAATATACAACGTGAGTCAGGTAATAATTAAAAATACAACACTCTTGTTTTTCCACTAGCCAACACATTCAAGACACACTACAAGACTTCCGAGGGACCAAATTATTTTACCTTTATTTTTAGATTTTTATATCGCACCCGTGGTGCACTCCCAGGAACAAACATTTCAGTTGAATTTATCATTTGTCCGCAGTACCGAAAATTACAAAATTTATGAATATTTTTTTGTAAATCGCGGGCTATGTTTTTCCAGATTGAATCTGAAATTTTACAATTGCGGGATACACTGCCATCACTGGCCTTTCTCGCTCCGATGTGAGTGGAAAAAAAAAAATAACTTGCGCTCCACAATTGCCGGAATTCTTTGGTAATTCTTCTTCATTTTTTGTCGCCACGTTGCACTAGAATGTGCTGGACATGCAATACAAGTGAACCGAAAATTGAATCGAATAATGTTTGAGCCCTATCACCGTAATAGCGTTGACATGGAGTGATGATTGGGAATTCCGCACGCTTCGAGTCACGAGATAATCAGCAAGATTCATTAATTATAATACTAGGTAACGCGTTGTAATAGGTAATAGGCGCGCGAGTAATGTCTCTCTGAATTGGGGCGCGAGATTTCGGTATAAATTGATGGTTGGATGGAATTGGCTTATAGGTTTTAATGAAGCTGCAGTATACAACCATCACCATCTCACACCACGTCCGATCTACCCGGCCTCTCTGGTCACTAATGGTATATCCGTTTGAAAGTAATTACTCCTTGATAGGATACACTATATGGGGATAGAAATGAAAATTGTGGCAATTCTAGAAGCCCGACAATTAGCACACACATATGGATTATTGTATAATGGGTGTATGAGGGTATGGAACGTGAGAAAACTTGTCGGATCGGATGAATGCTAGTTTTCTTATCTGTGTGGATAGAATTTGATTGCACACACACGGTAAAATTTTTCGATTTTAATCGTCGATAATCCAGAGCTTGAAATCGCGACATTTTCCACTAGCTCCGTAGTCAAATAAGGGGGAAGAGGGTGGGTGGTGGGAGGAGGCACATTCACGTGGGCACATTTTGCCTCGTTCTCGCTTATTACACTGAGCAAGTGGTGGAAAGGGGGCACAGAGGAAGAGAGCCCTCTCCCAGGAGCGAGTTACGCTGGGTAACGAGTTCAGCCATAGAGCTTAAACGAAAAGTACTTTGCGCACCGGCGGAAAAGCTCGAGTAGAATTTATAGATCCGCGGATTTGCTGTCTCCCTTTGTTGCCCTCTCTTGCTTCCACTTGAACGTACAAATTGGGAGGAGAAAGAGAGAGGGCATTTGTAAAAAAAAGAGGGTTCAGAGTTATCTTTTTCCTCGGATTAGACAGGTGGAGAGAGAAGAGGGTGAACCGAGAAGATAGGCTTGTAATCGCCTGGTGAGGAAATAAAATCTCTGCTAAAAAAAAAATCACCAATCTATACATTACCTGGGACTCTGCTGTCTCTCCGATGTCAAGAGGATGACAATTATCATTGGCTATTTCCCACTGATACAGATACTCGAGGGTAGTAATTAATTCAATGAATGTGAACGTGGAGAGACATATTGGAGAAGATTGGAACCTTCCAGTGATATTTTATTCTCACTTCACGGAGTTGGGATAATTTTTCATGAGAAAGGCCTGTCTTATCGTCATCATGCTTATCAACTATTAATGGATCCTAACGTCCATCAAACCCGAGACATTGGCCAAAGTGCAGAAGAAAAGCCCCCGAAACTTGCCTGGGTTTCCATATTATACGTGCAAACTTGAGTATATATGTGTGCCTGGGTTGAGCGGACTTATACACCTACTAAAAGGTATATATGCTCACTTGATTCCCGTTTGTGGAGTGAGAGAATCAGGCAACGATGGGGACGACGAGGTAGAGAGGGATTTGGCTGGGATACTCTACTCTACAAGTGAGTAGAGTAGAAAGAGCGAAGTGAGATAGAGGGAGTTGAGTTGGAATCGTGGGGCTACACGCCTGCAGGGAAGAACGTACGTTGGTTCATACTAAACCGTGGCCCGAGTTGCTCCGTAGGACAGTTCAACGAGCGTGTCTTCCGAGGCTGGATCGTGGGCCCCCCTCCTCCTCCCCCCGAACAACTTTTAACATCCTCGACCAGTCTCTCTCACCTAGAACGTGGCTCAAAATCTGATAAGAGTTTCTCCCTTGAACACACCTATATATACCATCTCCAAGTGTTTGGTGACTTTAGATCTCGAATTTTTAAGACATCAGCCTGTGAACAAATATAAGTAGTGGTGAATAATTTTTATCGGCGAGGAAAATCGTGCAAGTGGTTATTTTCATAAGTCAATCGGTGTGAAAATTGTGTCATAATTCATTATCCGGCTCCTATCGGTTGTTATCGATCTGCTCACGGTTGATATGTGGATTGTCCACGTGATGGGAATGATCACTCGATATCGATGAGTTATAATGTGTGTGGAGTCATTACGCTGATACGTTATCACTCTGTGATCGGTTGGAAATCTCTATTGTTGCGGATCAAACGTCAGTGACGTACGGTGTGTAACACTTGTGGTTTGTGGAATGTCTCGTGGGCTGAATCAAAATCATATCCATCCAGTTAGGATAGCTGTCATTCTGTCTGTAATCATTAGATGGGCAATTACTGACGACTGGTGCAAAAACAGTGATTGATCAATCATATGACTTGGGAGTTGTGCTTGTGTCTGATATTCAGCTGCGTGAATGTACTGCAGTGATGAAGAATGGAAGGAATTCGTTGCTGATGAATATTTGTTCGTTAAAATCTCATGGTTGATTCTACTTGATTATGTATTTTGAGATAAATGTTCAGTGACAGCTGTGATACACCGTGCAGGGAATTCAGTTGATGCACGGTGGATGGGAATACTGTGGATATATTTGAATCGGGGTAAAGAACCTGTGATTAATAGATAAGTGATTTGTGTATCGTTCTCTGGTTTATTCCTGGTGATACTGTGGATGTACATGCAGTTCAGTCTGCATCACTGATTTCATCAAGGTAAGATTAAACTACTGTCATCTCATCTCCCTCTCTTTCCATTATGATTTCATAAAAATTATTTCATTTTTCACGATTTCCATTTTAAATTGATGATTTTCAAGATAAATAGATAATTAGAAGGAACGTTCAATTCGTCTTATTCCACTCTCTTACTTCGCTACTCATTAACTCTTCATGTAGACATTGACCTGAATAGATGAGAAAACAATTTGAAAAAATCGTTCAACATCATAATTGGAATGGCAACGATCGATGACGAAATCACATTTTCAATCCCAAATTGCTTCACTTAGTTGGAATGACTGTTCATGGGCTTTCGAAAACGCTGTTGAAACAACATTAGAGAGAAAACAAATGGTTCATCTATTCACTGGTGTCAGCACTCTGCTACCCTGCTCGTGCATTTCACTGAATGATCGACAGACAAACAACAGAGGCAAGGCAAAAGGAATGGGAGAAATTTTTTTTTGTTTCCTGAAAAAAAAAACAACACATTCGAGAGAAAAAGGATGATAGGCGCAACATCTCCGATGATTTAAAAAAATAACCACGCGCGTGTTCACTCGGGTGGCAGCAAATGAACAAACTGGTTCTCGCTTCGATGTCTCGTCCGAGCTTCATCCGAGTTGATCAAAACACGCCTCACTGTGTCCCTATTTTGCAAATTTTTTTTTTTTCCTTGCAATTTTTTTTCTCTCTCTCCCCTTTTTCTTCCCACTAACCCGCACACAGGGCCTAGCCAGGCTCTATCGCCTCGAAAAATCTGTGTCAAGCGACATGTTGACACGTGTTGGGAGTTTGCTCGCGGATCTCACTCCTCTCTCTCTCCTGCATTCACAAACTGAGCAACATCGCTATGTGTATTACAGTGTCGGATTTCGTTCCATATAAAGGCGGCATGGGGAAGGGGCTGGGCAGAGGGCAGAGGGAGGTGGAGAAATTGGGTTTTTAGAAGCGAAATCGCAGATGCTGAGGCGAGAGCCACTGAGGCACTCTCGTGGGTGCAACGTCAACGGCAGCAAACGACTGGACGCTGACACAGTGTATTACAGCTCTCAACTCTCCGGTTACCAACGTGACGTGTTTTTTTTTTATCCTCTGCTTTCCTGTATCACCGACTATTTGCACGGTGAAAAGAAAAAAACAAAGTAAGAATGAAAAGAAAATGTACAAAGGGACAAGAGACCAGAAATAGCACACGTGTTTGCCGGCTATAAAGTCGCACGGGTCAGTAGCTATCGCATTCCCTGATTTCAAGATATGAAACATAATTTTATTATGACGTGAAGCCGTCGAGGTATACTATCCTTAAATCGGGTGAGGCACTCCCCGCAGCGTTTGAACCAATGAAAATGAGACAAAATGAGATCCCGTGGACTACAAACTTTTTGGATGTAAACTCGTAGGCTACGGTTAAAATGATGCATACTTTTTCGGTTTATAAAATGTTTTTAGCGGATGGAGTTGATGAAACAATTTGCGAAATTGTAACGCCAAGGATTACAAGATACAGGATGACAAATGAATTGCTTTTCCTCGTCTGACGGTGGAGTTTTTATGGTTCTGGACTAACAGGAATAACAATCATATACAAAAATTTATATCAATTTCCCAAAGTTCTCCTTCGAGTAGAATAGCCGCTGCTCCTAGACTATTCATGAATTTGGGTAATTTTTTTGGCAATAATGACGAATTTTCAGGACTACAGGCTGCATATAATGATTATATCATTCTCAATTGCTTATTCGTCACTGACATTTTAATTATTCAATGAACAGAGTCCAATTATCGAGCCTAATTCAATAATGATTGGTTAATTTACCGAAATTCAACTCTAAGCCAAGCAGAAGCTCACACATATAATCCCTGGTGAAATTGAACAAACCCACTCCAACGTACGCGCGACACTAGTGAGAATCGGCATCAGAATGAGCCAATAAATAATTACAAACCTAAACGATAATGATATATTCACCATGACACTTGTGGATCATCCCTCAGTCGAGAGAATGTATTATTCACCGAAATATGGATGAGTCAGACGGCTGGTCTAGTTATAAGTTGATTACTCATCGACCGAAATTCCCTGTGAGTTTCGCTGTGGCTTTACGAAACTGCAACTGCATCCAAACGCGGATAACCCAGAAGGTGGCCATTAGCGACATATGGTACACACTGCTATTGCTATTTCAAATAACTTGAGATTGTTAAGCGAGTAGACGAGTGAGAAATTTATGAAGGGAGAGGAGGTGAGGTGAAATTCTTCGGATGATTACGCACACAAAACGAGTCGAATGGGGTGTACTTACCGCACGGCATTCTGCCAGCTATAAATACACGGTGGAGGACCATGTTTTATGAACTCTAATGCGAAACTTTTTACGATCCTCTCGAAGATGATGTTTTCCAATGAAAATGTCAATGAGGATAGAAATGAGATTCCCACAGTGCATAGGCCTCTGACTCGTATGAATTATTTTTAACGCATCTCTCTACCGTTTTACTCTTTACTCTTTTGCTTTTATTATCTAATGGTCCACTGCAATCGTATAGGCTGCCAGCCCGAGGGGCTCACATATTAATAACACATAACTACTCCCAATGATTCCAATGCAGCGTAACCCGATTTAAAACATCGAGCGCGACTAATCATTCAATATAACCGTTGACCGTAAGTTGGGAGATTGCGTACATTTAAACATGAGGCATGGATATTGCTGGGGCAAAATGAGTGGCCACAGTATCACTGTGGGTTATATCGTTTATGGCGTTCCGCATCGATGAATAATCCAACTAATGTTCGCGTATCAGCTGGTAGTCCATGAGTTCATCTATACGCGTAATCAAATTTATTTTCCAAAATAAATTAACATTTTTGCTCCTCAACACTGTAATTTTCAATTGCATTTAAGAACAACGAACATATTGGAAATTATTTAAAGAGATTGAGAATTCAGGTAAATAATCGTTTGAACTTTCTCTGAAATCACAATAATTTTCTCATTGAATAAACCGAGACATATTGATTAGATTGAATATTCGATACTCTGGCTAATTTTTCGTTAGAAAAATGCCCATAAATTTCATCCAAATGCATCTTAATCTGTGAAGGACATTCTTGAGATGTTTCTCGTGGCCTGTGGTGCATGGGTTTGCAATTAAAAATCCGGGTGAATGCTAATTGTAGCGATAAAAACGAATATCCACTGAATGATGTGAATGCCACGGATTCCGCTCAGTGTAAATGGAACAGAAGTCTCTTTGAAATTTCCTATCGATGACGTCACTCGATGAGAACTCTAAAACCCCACTGCACAAAAATTCGAGTGACACAGAGCGGATGTGCATAATTGAATTGGCATGAAGTGGGTGTGTAGGCAAGGAGATGCTGAAGATCATACACAAATAGTAGGAGCAATCATTCAATTACACTGTACTTCTGAGCAACGAGTGATTTCACTCAACAAAAGACCATACTGAGAGAATTGAGTGCGCTATAATAGCCACTGAATGTATGCGCGCACGCCGGACTAAAATTTCAGTTCCCTTCGTTAATAATGTATTCATTCGGCGACCGAATAAGTCCCGAGGTTGGCCATTACCGTTATCTCTTTTTTATTCTCTTTTTCATTTTTCTCTTTCCGCCTTATCCCCCTATATCCCCCTTACCCCTGGCTGCACCCCATCAACCCCCCCTGAAAATACGCCCTCGTTAATCTATATCTCGTTTCATGCGTAAATCCCAGACACTAACTGAAATTAGGGGTAGGGCAGCCATCGTCGTGGCTCATTACAGTCATCTTCCTTCCTTCCCTTTTTATAGGCATGATTGCGAGAAAATTCAACGATCCGGACGAAGATAAGGATCACAGTTATCTATCGTCTGTGTCTCTGCTGAGGTAGAAATGGTTATCTTGAGGAAGAAAAAAAAAAGAGGAAAGATGGAGAGAAGAACACGTGGGAATTACAGACTGTCGAGATGCGTCACGTTTGGATAAACTCCCCAATTTTTTCTTCCGAATTCTCACACAGTTTTTCTCCTTTTTTTCTCCTCATCTCTTACTACAATTGTTGTAAGTTCCTCGGTTGCACGAAAAGTGGCACTTTATAGCGACTAACAAGGTTACACGCGTTGTCACCTTTACCTTGCACCACGGCAAGTTACGTTCTCATAATATTGCAACAGTCTAGGTGTCAGGCACAGCTCTCCTCCAGAGTGGCTGCTGTTGCTGTTGGTTGGAGGGCAAATGTAGTGACTCTCTTTTCTCAGTGTCTAGATTGTACACCGGCTCATGCGGAACAATCTCAGTGAGCACTTCACCTAGAAAAATTATTTCATAATCAATTTTTTTTTCCAGCCCAATCGATCTATTCACTTGAGGTTTTATAGCGCGTTTGAAAGGCACCGGGATTTTTTTCTTTCTGATTGAGTTATAATATCTAAATGGTCAGTCATTACATAAAAGTCTTTATCGACTATTTATTACTCCCTCAAAGGATTCGATGCAATATTCAAGCAATTGCACTAATGCAGTTATTCGAATGAAAACGACTGTTTTTTCATTCTTATAATTGATTCACATTTTTTCTACAACGATTTGTTCTTGTTGCTCATCCACTTGGCATTCATGCGGATCCATTCCTTCGCGGGTCAGCGGTTGAAAATTAATTTTCAAGATCATTAATCGAAACGGTGGTGCATGCTCGAGTGAACAATTGTGAATAAATACATATCATACACTGGCTACTTCGAACGGTACATCGTACGGTAGATTTTCGCGGGATGAACGGCTTATTATTATTTTTTTCCAAGTGTATTTTTCGCGTATGGTTTTATTACCAAACAATGAGGAGTCTCTTCGGGGGTTATTGATACTGAAGCGAATGAAATTTATTTTGTGATGTAAACAGAAGAACCGCGAGGTAGACACGTACTTTACCGGTGAAATAGGCGGGGATGGAGATTATAGAGAAGTCCACGACTACTTCGCTCTGCG